ATATTCCACCTTTTTTTTGTTTTACAATTTCTCTTTTAAACAATTTACACAATGATCTTTACATTTTCTTAATCATATACAATTTGTATTTCTTGCTTCTTATTACTCCATACAGATTAATACTAATAATATTCTTTACTATTTCATTAATACTAATTAATATTCTTTACTATTTCATTTTTTACCGATTATTGTGATTTCAAGAACAGAAAATAATAATTTGACACAAGTAATATCTGCTTTCATACATAATATTTAAAAATTCACTTATCTAATATGCAATGTAAATTATCAATCATATTTGCAAGAGAGGTACTATTTCTTCTATCGAGAACCACGTCCATTATTAACATAACATAGATAAATTGTAGCATAGATAAATTATATGTGAATTGTTTTTCAAATATTTTATTAATAATATTGCATATTATAATTCCAATGGGGTTAGATGAACATCGACACGATGACTTTATCTTTAATATATAATAATATTGCATTCATTATATACCTATATGTGTATGTATATATATAAATATATATATATATGTATATATATATATATATATATATATATATATATATACTAGTTCTGACTGATTATATTATGTATTTTTTAATGATATTTTCGTTTGTCGCTTGTAAAGTCTAATTTTTAGATTACTAGTAATTTATTGTTTGGTTACGATTTTATTCCTTCTATTTCTATTTTCTATATTTGCATGCAAGATTAAGATATTATCTCAAAGCATCGAATTTAAGCTGTAAAGGTCTAATCATTTTTGTGCGAAATTATATAAAATAAATATAAATAGAACAACGTAGCCATTTTTCACTACAAGAAAAAAAAAGAGAATCGTGCCTTTTTAAAAATCAACTGTATTAGCTACTTACTATATTATCTAATTCCTATGACACAAGATCCCATTTGTAAAAGTTAGTATGCGATTTATAAAAAAAAATGTCGAACAATTAAATATCGAATGCCTATTTTTCTCTTTATATTTTAAAGAATAAATAACTTTTATGTGCGTGTAAAACAATTTGTTGTAGTTTACTTTCTTCTTTCTATTTTCATATATATTTTTTTTTTATATTTAATTATTCAATTAAAGATTAATTAAACAACATTTTGAATAAACAATTAGTAACATTTACAATAAACATTTGTTTCATGCTATTCAAAATTTATCATGATATTTTCTTCATTGTAACTATATTAGATCATTTTGAATAATTAAAAATTAATTTTTGTAATGTCTCTTAATTTCTGTGATAATAAATTACGCTTCCATCTTTTTTCTTACGTTCAAAGATATGATTGGACGACATTCTTTAATTCCGACATACAAATATATGAAATTCACTATAGAATATAAAATACATATATAAAAAAAATTATAATCGTTAATTCTATTATAGGATACATGTTTATTTATGTAAATACATATGTATATATATATTAAATATCAATCGATATTAAAATTACTTGTGAATATATATGATTAATAATAAAATTGTTTTCATTTCGTTCGCGCTTCGTTTACGTTCATTAAGAAAACAATATGGCTACGTTAGAATTCAAAATGGCCGAAGGATGACAACGCAGTGCTGTCAATTGAAGGAAAGATTGAATGTTACTACGAATTTGGAGGGAAAATGTCTCATATTCAGTATGTTGATGAGCTGGTCAAGGAGTATTTATTATTTCGAGGATTTAGTCAAACTCTGAAAGCCTTCGACAACGATTTAAAGACCGAGAAAGAAAAAGGTTTCAGGGTGAGAACATCGCAATATAAGATATGAAGAAAATAAAGAGTGCAACAACATTTACTTTGTATGCAGCATTATTGAAAAAAGATGTTTATATATTTATTTGTTTGACATATATAGGATTTATTATTTAATATACGATTGATTTATAATCATTTATATCACTTTAATCAATCAGATTTTAAATGTAGCTTCAAAACAATCATTTTCAATACATAACCCCTTCGTTACTTTTTCAATTTACGTTAAAAGAAATTTTTTATGATTAATGTGAATGCAAGTTTAATAACTTTTTATTGATCATTCATTTCTTTTTTTTTCACTAGGTTGATAAAATTGTTGATCAATTGATGCAATACATATATACATATGATTTATTATCTTTGAGAGAATTATGGGGTCATTTAGATATTAGAATGTTTTCCCGTTTGGAAAATCATTTTACTCCGGCTATAAAAAAATTAGAGAATGCTGTTTTAAAAATGTATCTAGTAAATGCAGCTGTAAATAATAAGCAAGATCGTATTCAAGAATTTTTTACTAAAATGGCACCGGAATTACAAGGACATTCTGAATGGAAAGAATGGTTTGGTATGATATATTTTAGTTATGAAATATACAAAATATATATATTTTCTTTTAATTATAATCTCGCAACATTATCATTTGTAAAAAAAAAATCCTGAAGATAATCCAACATAATGAATATACAAAATATATATATATATTTTTTCTTTTAATTATAATCTCGCAGCATTACCATTTGTAAAAAATCCTGAAGATAATCCAACATATTCGGTGCATTTTACCAGACAATGGCAAGATACTATGTTGGTTTCTTTACATAATTTTCTTGCAACTATTTTTCAAGTAGGTAAATTTCAAGTTTTAATTATAAATATGAAATGGATTAACATAATGAAATGTTATATCTCCAATGAACTAAACTTTTACAGTGTATGCCACAACCAACATTATTAACAATAGATGAAGATACGAATAAGTTGAAACGTTTACAAGAGGAGAATGAAGCCCTGAGACAAAAATTAAATGAACCTATTAAAATAGAAACAATCGCTGATGTAAATCCAGGACCAGTACCACAGTATCCACCAATTATGGATGACTTTTATATCATTGCTCAGTATGTATAGTACTTCTATATAACGTATTAAATAATTAAATTATACATCTACATTATTTTTTGTTTAGGGAATCTCCTTTAATGGAAAATCCTAAAACATTGAGAAGTTTAATAAAGAATATAGGCGGTGGTTCAAGTCCAATTTTAAGTAGAAAATCTGCAACAAATATTAAGAAACATACAGAATCTGATATAGCATCTACAAAAAGGACAAACACTAAAGGAAGACTGAATTCAGTTGCAAAAACTGAAGCAGTTGCTAAAAGAAGTATGAGTTGTGATTCTCGATTAACAAGTACTAGAAAAAGAGATTCATCTATTGATACTACTGTCGACAGAAAAACAAAAGAAAAGATTGAGTCAACTTATATTCTTTTAAGTCAGGTTAATTAATGTTCATAAACATTAAACAATTTATTTTAAGACACGAATCATAATTATTACAAATGCCTTATGAACAAATTTTTCAGGAGGAATATACAGAACATAAAACATCTATTATTCAATGTAAAAGCAATGCAAGTGGTTCATATGTAGCAACGGGTGATGCTGATGGCGTTATCAAAGTATGGACACCAATTCCATCACCAAAGTATATATTTCTCGTATATTCATTTATAATATAAATTTTACGATATATTAAAATTCATAAAATCGTTTATATTTTTTTTCTTTTTTTTTTTTTTTTTTTTTTTTTTTTTTTTCTTTGAATTTCTTTATTAGAACTGTTATGACATTTAATTCACCTATGACAAACGCAAATAAGGCTATAACTGCATTAGATTGGATATCAAAAAATGAACGTTTCTTTTTACATGGCGACAATAACGGACTAATTCAATTACATGAAACGCGTGATTGTAAAACACTTTGGGAAATACAACATGAAGGATCACGGATTATTACTTTACTTTGTAATCCAACCGATTCTACATTTGTATGCTCAGTATCAGATCCTACAGAAAGCAAATTACTTTTATATGACATAAAATCGACGAAATTAGAAAGAATTTTACCTACAGAACAAAATGTAGTTGCTTTATGTTCTGCATTTAATCACAATGGTCAACTGCTTATCACAGGAATGTCAAACGGCAATATACTGATACATGATTTGAGGCGAAATGAAATAATAGATAATCTTGGTTCTCATTCGAGTCCTGTAATTGATATAGAATTGATAAATGATTTCACAAATATTTGTGCTCGAAGTGAAGATGGGAAATTATGCCAAAGAAGCTTAAACCACTCAGGAAAAATCTTGTGGGAAACTAAAATTAAAATTGAAAAAACTGCTTTCCATGGGAAATTATTTACATTTGATCAGAGTGGAAATTATATGTTACTTTGTACACAAAGTGGAGGTAACATATATAAAGTAAGCAAAAAGAAACCATACGAACTATTGTACTTATTATAGATATGAATATATAAATTTTGGATTTCTAAAAATATTGTATGTGTAGATGCCCCCTGGTATGCAAACAAAAGTTTTAGAACTTGGTGGACATAAAGGAACATTATGTTGTGATTGGTCCAGTGCTAATCAATCTGGAACATGTATTACTGGTGGTGCAGAAGGAAAAGCCAGGGTATCAACACTACTATCCCCATGATACAGAAATAAAATTAGTATATGCGTGAATTCATGAATGGAGAAATCAGTCATTAAAAAGAAAGTTAGCAAAATAGAGCAATTATGTAGATATTAATTTTGTTGGTATGTAATTATATTATCTATTAATTTTTAATCTAGTTTTAGAATGGAATATACAAATAATATATATATTATAATATATCATAAATGTGTAGTAATATTAGTAGGAAATCGATTATTTCATAAAAAGTACAATGAATGCCAATGTATCATTTTTTTAATGTAATAATATTATTTTATTTTTTAAAAATAATTAACAGATTACTAAGTTGTAAAATTTATAAAAAATGACATTAATGCAAAAATGTGAAATGTGATCTTATATAGGTTTACTATCTGGGAAAAAAAAAAAAAAAAAAAAAAACAATATGTACAGAAAACAAAAGTCAAAGTCAATAAATACAAGTCAATTTTAATACAAATATTATCTACTAATGTCATTTCTTTATTGTAAAATATTATGGCTTTTATTGTAAAAAAGAATACATAATAATTTTCTAAAAATCTTACCTCACTTATAGTATAAGTTTAACAAGAAAGGAATTTCAAATGAGGTGGACGTACTGACCAACGATTAAATGGTCCTGTTATATCTAACTGTGGTGACCAGAATCGTCTAAGAGCTTCAGTTATTTCAGCTGGAGTTATTGGTTTAGTTGCAGCACCCTAAAAATATATATGGTTTCAAATATTTTATATGTTCTTACATGCATATATATAATAATCATTTTTAAAAACTTATAAATTAATTATATATCACAAACCTTTCCATGATAATACGGCTTATATGTATATGGATTAACATAACTTAGTTTAAGACGATCTATGGCATCTCCATATATTTTGGTTTGATCTTGGCGCACTAAGAAAACAAGATCAATAATTTGTGCAACTGTTTCATATGCTAAATATCCTAAAATCACATAACCTTCCTTGGATATTGTGATGTTACCTACAAATTTTACCAATTGTATTAAGATATGATTGTATTATATATTTATATTTTTTAATGCGTTAATATTACGGAGAAAAATTACCATCTGTACAAATCCAGTCACTAAATTTATGACGATTCTTATTTGCAAACGATGCATTACGCGCATTACTAAATTTAATGTAACGTGCTTCATCCATTGAACGTGTAATCATCTCAGCACGAATGCATCTGTTTAATTTTATTTCATCTATAACAGATTTATTTTCAAAAAGTTCTCCAGTATTGTCAATGGTACTAAGAAATTCATGATATGGACCCTTTGGTTTATTATTTTGTAATTGTTCATTATCTACTATATCCTCTGGATCATCACTTTTCAAAACTTTATTGACAGAAGCTTTGAACTGTTTCAATTCTACAAGATATCAAAAAATTTCAATTAAGTAACATTTAAATTATCATGTATAAATAATTATTATTATAATATACCTAAATATTTAAGCAATCGTTGTAGCTTAATTTTATCTTTACGTAACAAAAACATAAAATCTTCCGCTGTTACAATATTAGATTTTTTCAATATTCCTCGCCTTTCAGCAACTTCACATGCTTTTTTAACAATTCCTCTCATTTGATGCAATACAATATCTTCTATTATTTTTGCGGATTCTATTAATGGTTCACTACAATCACCAAATCCATGCATCATTTGTCGAATTTCTATAATTATAAAATAATATATATTAACTGCAATTTTAGAAATAAAATATATCATTTTATTCTTAACAATTGATAAAGAGAATAGTTATTTAAAAATTTGAATCTATTTAACCTATAATGGTAGAAATGCACACCAGCTATATAATTGGTTGATTCATTTTTATAATACTGAGGATCATTTACAGATTTTGAATTAGATGCTTCTGTCATTATTAAAATAATGGCAGAAATAATTTAATAAACAATCTTTAATGAGATTAAAAAAAACAAACACATAACACATAAAATGACTTGGAGAGATATGAATTTATGGTAAATGTTTACGCTGTCGCCAGGAGGTCTCAAAGATATTTAACAACATGGAAAAAGCTTATAATGCCATCTATAAAAAATTCATAGAAACTACATTACAATTAGACTTAAGATCTGATTAAGGCTGTTAATCGGATTTCGCTCTTAGAATATTTAATTTTAGCAAAAGGAAAGAATAAAATAACAATAAATAAAATCAATAAAAATAAGTAATAATAATAAAAATAAATAAGAATAAGTAAGAATAATAAAGAAGAGAAAATTTTTCAATACGTTTTCCTACAAAATTCTTTTAGTATTCTACTATATCTAATCCATTTATTTACTGAAATATAATTAATTATGTAAAATTCAAGTATTTTAATGTTTAGTTAGAAATAGAGGCAAAAAATTTTCGAAACCCAATAAAATATCCAGCCATTCACTCGGTAGTACTTGCGTTAAATGATCTAGATATGATATATCGTAAGATTTCGATACATCATAAGTAATACCAATTCACCACGTGGAAGTTGCTGCATCAGGAGACCAAGGAGTATTAGAATAACGATAACTACTCTATAATCCGCGTTTCCGAGAAGTTACGAGCAATCAATCGAAGTTTAATCGTCTAATCGAGATATATAAAGGATAATTAATGAGAGTAAATAAGAATAAATAGAAATCACAGCGGACATAAATGTGTGATAGAAAAATTTCTTTTTCGTTTCTCTGAGAAATTATTGTACAATAGAATTCTGCCATATTCCTCTTTTGAAGTATTATTAGCGATATAAAGTCGAAAAATATTAATGTTCAGTTGGAATTAGATTAAAAAGATATTGGAAAAGTAATACAATATGCAGCCATTCGTTCGGTAATACTTGCATTTAAAAATTTACAATTAAACTTTGCAAGTATTAACGATCCAGGTCTCACTACGTGGAAGTTGCTGCATGTGGAGACCCACGGACTGACGGTGACTCTACTCTAAAATTCGCGTTCCGCGATATCGATCCGCTATACCTTTCCGCTTCAATGCACTGGCTTCTTAACTAACAGGGTATGCGTAGCTTTTGCTACAGCACACCTCTTACAGATAGCTCCACCATTTGCACCGTCCACTTCAGACATAACGGATAATTAAGCACATCTGAATTTGTGCTTTCCGAATTTCGAACAAACAAAGCGCACTCCTTAGAAATACTAATCGCGTCGCGACACTCACGTGTGTGTTATAATTACGTAGATTCTACTGTTAAGCCGAAATTCGCGAAGTACCCCCATCGAAATTTTGAAGAAATCAAACGAAGTCCACGGTAGGACCTTTAATCGCGCCCGAACACCCACGCGAGTGTTAGAAAAACGATGACTCTACTCTACAATTCGCGTTTTCGATTCGAACAATCAAACGAAGTTTAATCGCGCCCGAGAACACCAACGCCTGTGCCCGCCAACACGCGCGCCGGTGTTCTTCCTATCCTTCCCGTATTCGCGTAGAAATCGATGATGAATCTTGCCATTCGATGTACCATCCGGTCGTTGATGAACCTATCCCTCGATGATCTATCCTGGAAAAGAAGAAAGTAAGCAGAAAATAAGAGAAAGAAAGAAAATACATAAAATAAAACATAATATATATATAATATAAATAGAAAATAAACATAATTAAAAACATAATTAAAAACATAATTAGAAAGAAACAACATAAATAAATATTAAGAATACATAATAAAAAGGAAATAACATAATAATAACATTATTGAAAACATAATTCAAAAAGAAAAATTTGAGATAGAAACGAGAGCCGGAGAAAGAAAAGAGAGCCCCAGAAAGAGAAGAATAGAGAGCCCCAAAAAGATAAGACAAGAGAAAAAGTTCTCTATGATGCTGAGACAGCAACCCGCACAGAAGCCCTCCCCCACAGGCCCCTCCCATGGGTCCCACCCGAAATACACAAAGGATAATTAATGAGAGTGAATAAGAATAAATAGAAATGACAGTGGACGTAAAAGAGAGATAGAAAAATTTCCTTTTCATTTCTCTGAGAAATTATTGTACAATATATTTCTGTCAAATTTCTTCTTTTGAAGTATTATTAGCTATATAAAATGAAAATATGGTAATGTTTAGTTGGAATTAGTTTGAAAAGATATTGGAAAAGTAATACAATATGCAGCTATTCGTTCGGTAATACTTGCATTTAAAAATTTACAATTAAACTTTGCAAGTATTAACGATCCAGGTCTCACTACGTGGAAGTTGCTGCATGTGGAGACCCACGAGCTAACGGTGACTCTACTTTACTCTAAAATCCGCGTTCCGCGATACCGATCCCTTATGCCTTCCGCTTCGGATATCTTGGGCATGGTACAAAGCTAACAGGAAGTATCTAGCCTTAGCTACAGGGACTCCACTTACAGAAAGCTTAACCGTTCGACACCCTCCGCCTCAGGCATAACGAATTATTAAGCACATCTAAATTCGTGCATCCGAATTTCGAACAATCAAAGCGTATTAATCGCGTTCGCGACACTCACGTGTGTTATAATTACGTAGATTCTACTGTGCTATCCAAATTCGCGAAGTAATCTAATCGTTATATCGAAGAAATCAAACGAAGTCCCCGGTAGGACTTCCAATCGCGCATGCGAACTCTTACGTGAGTGTTAGAATAACGGTGACTCTAAGTTGAAATCCGAAGCGCACTCCAAATTTCAACATTAAAACGAAGTCCATAATAGGACTTTTAATCGCGCGCGGACACCCACGCAAGTGTTCGGAAAACGGTGACTCTACTCTAAATAAACTAATCGAATATTCGAGCAAACAAAACGAAGTCCCCGGTAGGACTTTTAATCGCGCACGCGAACACTCACGTGAGTGTTAGAATAACGGTGACTCTAAGTTGAAATCCAAAGTGACATATGCTAACCGGTATTTAGACTTTCCATGATATTTGTCGGGATTTCCGCCCCGCTACCAAATATGAGGATTGTCATAACATCAGCCAGCTATGTACAGCACTACAAGGTAAACCGTTCGCGCACCCCGAATTTCAACACTAAACGAAGTCCATGATAGGACTTTTAATCGCGCCCGGACACCCACGCAAGTGTTCGGAAAACGGTGACTCTACTCTAAAAAAACGCGTTCGCGAGGTAATCTAATCGAATATTCGAGCAAATATAAACGAAGTCCCCGGTAGGACTTTTAAGTCGCGCCCGCGTTCATTCACGTGAGTTTTAGAAAAACGGTGACACTACTCTAAATCCGCGTTTTCGATACGAGCAATCAAACGAAATTTAATCGCGCCCGAGAACACCCACGCTTGTGCACGCCGACACGCGCGCCGGTGTTCTTCCTATCCTTCCCGTAACCGCGTGTAAAAATCGATGATGAATCGTGCCAGGCGATGACGGATTCGACCAGAGATGAACCTATGCCTTGATGATTTATCCTGAAAAAAAAAGATAAGGAAAAAATAAGAAAAAGAAAAGAAAAGGCAGATTGAATATCGCTGCATGATTGCTCGATCATCCCTGAAAAAGAAAAAAGAAAATGAATAAAAGAAAGATAAAAACATAGAAGTAGTTCTGCACGCTGCTGAAACATCAGTCCGCTTCATCTCATGGGTCCTACCTAATTCTTAAAAATTAAAATTAATTAAAATATATTAATAACAAACCTAAAAACATAAAAACATCGTTAAATAGAAATAACATAAATAAATATTAAAAAAACATAATTAAAAAGAAATAACATAATAAAAATCTGAAAAGACATAATGAAAAGAAATAACATATTAATAACATAATTAAAAACATAATTAAAGAAGAAAAATATGAATAATAAAAGAGAGCTGCTGAATGATAAGAAAATAGAAGTAGCTCTGCATGCAGCTGAAACAACAGTCCGCTTCATCTAATGGTTCCAATCTAAAACCTGTAAACCATAATTAATAAGAATATATTAAAAACATAATTAAAACAATAAAAACATAATTAAAAAGAAATAACAAATAAATATTAAAGAAACATAATTAAAAAGAAATAACATAATAAAAATCAGAAAAGACATAGTGAAAAGAAATAACATATTAATAACATAATTAAAAACATAATTAAATAAGAAAAATATTAAATAGAAAAGAAAACTGCAGAAAGACAAGAAAATAGAAGCAGCTCTACGCGATGCTAAGAGAGCAACCCGCACAGAGGCACACACCCATGTCCCCATCCGATGGGTCCCACCCGAGACTAATAAATCATAATTTATAATAGTAAAAAAGAATGAAAAATATGAAATAGAAAAGAGAGCCCCACAAAGAGAAGAAAAGAGAAGCAGGTCTATAAGATGCTGAGAAAGCAACCCGCACAGAGGCCCACACCCATGTCCCCATCCCATGGGTCCCACCCGAGACTTATAAATCATAATTTATAATAGTAAATCAGCATGAAAAATATGAAATATAAAAGAGAGCCTGAAACAGAGAAGAAAAGAGAAGCAGCTCTATAAGATGCTGAGACAGCAACCCGCACAGAGGACCTTATCCACAGGCTCCACCCGTGGGTCCCACCTGAGATATATAAATGATAATTAATGAGAGTAAATAAGAATAAATAGAAATCACAGCGGACATAAATATGTGATAGAAAAATTTCTTTTTCGTTTCTCTGAGAAATTATTGTACAATAGAATTCTGCCATATTTCATCATTCGAAGTATTATTAGTTATATAAAGTGGAAAAATATTAATGTTTAGTTGGAATTAGTTTGAAAAGATAATGGAAAAGTAATACAATATGCAGCCATTCGCTCAGTAATACTTGCGTTACATAATTTATAATTAGAGTATGCAAGTAATACCGACCCAGGTCTCACCACGTGGAGGTTGCTGCATGTGGAGACCCACGGGCTAACGGTGACTCTACTCTAAAATCCGCGTGCCACGATACCGATCCGCGATACCTTTCCGCTTCAATGCACTGGCTTCTTAACTAACAGGGTATGCGTAGCTTTTGCTACAGCACACCTCTTACAGATAGCTCCACCATTTGCACCGTCCACTTCAGACATAACGGATAATTAAGCACATCTGAATTTGTGCTTTCCGAATTTCGAACAAACAAAGCGCACTCCTTAGAAATACTAA